CTCTCTCTCTCTCTCTCTCTCTCTCTCTCTCTCTACTATATATATATATATATATATATATATATATATATATATATATATATATATATATATATATATATATATATATATATCTTATCACTTTGTTCAAGCGAAAGAAAGCAACGGCTGTTATTGTACTCATGTTGAGCGGACTGTGGAGAACTTTCAGTAGTGGTCGTGGAATCTGAAATCCTCCTGCAGATGTGATGTGAAGCCTAAAAAGAACCATACTTGAAAAGCTAGATAGAGAAACCCACCATGACCTCTGCCCTCAAGCATTTGTTGGACTATCAATTATCAGAGTTTCCACTTTGAAACTACCTGTAGGGCCTTCATGGAGGTCACTTTAACTCACTTTCATCACTTAATCCTCCATCTCTTTTTCACTTTTCTTTTTTGCAGATATGGGCTGCAGAAGGAGATAATTATATCAGAACTTTTGCTGGAGGAGAATGTTCTATTTCTGCAGGAGGACCAAAATGGTTCTGTTTTGAGTTATAAACTTGAACAGGTCTTTATATTCGAAACTTTACCATTACATGAACACCAGACTCTCTATCTAGATGGCCAATGAACACCACCATTACATGAAGGAAAGCAATTATCTAGAACAGAGAGTCCTTGAACAGGTGGGCCTCCATCAAGACAAGTGTTAATTAACCAAAATTTATTCTTGTTTTCTTTTTCAGTGGATGTTTCTTCTTTTAACATATGTTGATCCATATTCTGAATCTCTAGTAACGAAATCCTGGCACTGGTAAATGAAAAGTCCTAACAGATGAAAATGATGTCACATCTTTTTTCTTTTCAGCAACTTGCAGTATTAGATGGCTGTGAGAATGATGCTTGTGGATCTCCATGGCACATTTGAGGCTTGCTCTCCAAGTACCCTCCATGCTAAAATCATTTCTTGGAGAGAAACCCTGAGCATAATCTCAAGAAAGAAAAAGGAAAGGTAAGCACAAATATTTTTCTTCTCAATCACTTGATGTTTCTCCATGGACACACAAATCAAACCATCATCATCTTAGTGTCTTAATGGCTGCCAAATCTGATTCAAGAATCACCATCTCATCCAACCAGGTTTCAACCTAGCAGTAGCTAGGTTGTTTTCCCTGTTCTCCCATAGGGAACCTTATTCGGTGAAACTCCAAGTAAGATATCTTTAAGACATGAAAGTCATTTTCAAAATCTTTTTTTGCCTATATGTCACTTAATTGCAGTGAACTTGAATTTATTGCGTTAGGTATTTATTACTGTTGGCATCCGTGGGGAAATGAAAGCCGGACACAATCAACAGATTGAAGTGTGAATTAGAGATATTGGTTTTGGTTCATATCTATCATTGATTGTATTGGTCTCAATCATCATATTGATTTCTTTCGCTGCATTCATTATAAGAATATATACTCAAGAATAACATGTGCAGCAACTCAAAAATTGATTTGCCATTTGATTGTCCAATGATCGACGCAGGTACATAATTTTAGGCAATAAAGAAGAGGAGATAGAGTTGGGTGCGTCAGCCAAATTGAATGTGAGAGTTACATTCAGAAAGCATTATGTAATGATGCAGATATATCACCCCCCTGAATGAGAGAAGAATGCAAGACAAAAAGAGGCTGGTCACCCAGCCACGAGTGGCCCGGGAATTATCCCACCATCACCGAAAAATGCACTCAGATGGTTCATCTGTGCCAGAACCACAACATTGTCGTCATCCTTCGCCCTCCATTATTTGTGCCAGGCTTGTGTGACTCGATCCTCCTTCTCTCCTCCTGATGCTTTCATAACAACAAAAATATGGCAGGCAGCCCGTGCCAAGACTCCGGTACGGCCATGAAGGCTCACAACTCCATGACGAACGGCTGCAGGAAGCACGGCGATGAGAGCAGCTCCGAGTCCCTTAGCCTCAGCAGCCTCTCCAAGCTCGTTCTTCCTCCTCTCGGCATGTCAAGCTGCAGCCAGAACCCGAACGGCTCGCGATGGAGAATCTTCTTGCCCATGGACTCGAGATACAGGTTAGAACTACGCGCAGAGCTCCATGGCGACGAATTCTCTCTTTCGCTGGCGAACGAAAGCTCCAAGATGTTGTCTTGCAGGTGCTGGGAAGCGTTCATGGTGGCGCTGGTAGCGTACTCTGCATGGGTGTATCCGTTCGAGATCGCGTTCATGCACGCCGCGCCGAAGGGTGGGCTGTTCCTCACCGACAACGTCATCGACGCCTTCTTCGCGGCCGACATCGTTCTCACGTTCTTCGTGGCTTACATCGATTCCAGGACGCAGGTTCTTGTTTGTGACCCCAGGAAGATTGCCACCAGGTCTGTTCTTCGCCCACTCATCTATGCCCTCTTACACCTTTGCTCATCACCTTCAAACAAAATTTATATAACCATTAGTTCTTCTCTAAATGATCCAAAATTAGCACTTAAATCATCTAAAGTTCCATATATCACCACTTACAGAAATAAAAAGAGAGTTCCCATCCCATGACTAGGTACGGAATTTGAGACCTTAACAGCCTTAGTGTGAGTGTCTCTGTGCTTTGTCACGAACAAGCAAACAAACCTCAAGCAATCTGTCACATAGGTTCTTGAACTCTTGATTTGAAGGCAACTACGAGAAAAATCATTCTTCCGGGTTGCGGACTTTTCATTGTGACCACAAGAAAAATAGTAGAAGGGGGTACCTAGGAAAACAAATGGGTTCTGGTGGCAGTCTTGTAGCACCTACTTCATCAAAACCTGAGCTGCGTGGGCTTCTTCTGGAGGACTCGTTTCATCTTGGCGCTGTCAGAATCACGCAGGTTCCACTCAGATTGCTTGGACTCCACTCCCTCAGGCTCAGGAAAGCCATGATTTTTCTTTTTTTTGTTTGCATGCTAATTGCTACACTAACTCTACCAACCACTTGGGTTCACAAGAGAAGGGCACCTACACTTTTCATTGTGTCACCAACATAAGGAGGCCACCATAGTGTATTATTAGCTGATACCTGGCCATCACAAGCAGGTTTTCTTGGTAAGCTTGAGATAACCACCACAACTAGTGCTGTCATTTTGGTAAGCTTGAGATAGCACTGCAGATTTAGCTCTCATGAAAGGAAAAGTGAAAAAAAAGAAGAAGATATTGTTAGACTTTTTATTCTATCACCAACATGAGGAGCCCACCAGGGTATCAACACATCAAGTAGCTAATCAAGATCGAGTAGATTCTAGAGAATTGTATAAAAAATGATAGAGTGCTGCTGTAGCTCCTTGATGTGGAGTACGGTTTCAAGTTGGCTGTAGTTCATCAAATCTAGAAGGTCTGGGTCGGTTAAGTAGAAAGGAATGCTAATACCTGACCATCACAAGCAGGTTGTCTTGGTAAGCTGGCTGTCACGAGATCTCGAGGTCACCACATCTAATGCTGTCATTTTGTTCATTCTTGATGTCAGCCTAATCCCTGTAGCATTGCACAACAGCACTAATACTTCAAGCCTTCAAGTATTTTGTAGATCTTACAGAAGGAAAAAAGGAAAAAAAGTAAAAACAAGAACTGTCGAATAGGCCCACCAGAGTGTTGGCTAATATCTGACCATGGCAAGCAGGTTGTCTTGGCAAGCTTGCTTTCACCAGAACTTGAGATAACCACCACTTGTAGTGCTGTCATTTTGTTCAATTCTTGATTTCGGCTTAATCACTGTCGCAATGCACGATCAGCACCAACTCTTGCACAAATATACTTCAAGATTTCAAGTTTTTATAGATCTCATGAAAGGAAAAAAGAAAACAAGATATTGTCAGATGTTATTCTATCACCAACATGAGGGGCCCACCAGATTGTTACCTGGCCATCACAAACTGATTGTCTTTTTCATTCTTGATTTCAGCTTATTCTTGTAGCACTGCACAATCAACACTAGCGCTTAGCACAAACACTTAAGCTTTCAAGTTCTTTATAGATCTTATGAAAAGGAAAAAAAAAAAAAGATAACGTCAGGCTTTTTAATGTAACTGACCTGACTGAGGTATCCCAGCCCACGGACTGACCCCACCAATAATGGTAGAAAAACTTATCGACTTGTGGTCGTAAAAAAATTGTACAAAATTTGCTGACCATAAGGATCCTGCAATGCCTCTGCCACTGTCTTCCATTCTGTCATTTTATGACATGGGGGCTGCTCTTGTACAACCTTATGCTAAAATCAAACTGATACATGTGATATGCCAGCTCATGATGTACCATGAACTCGTCTCCAGTCATCAATCATCAACATCACTAGCTTGAATTCTGATTACAGGTATGCTGTAGTTACAAAACAAGACAATTCTTCAGATGAAACTCAAGTAAAATGATATGGCCAGAGCATAATTGAGTGATCTCCAACAGTTGTTCTGTGGGTAAAATCCTTTACCATGCAAATATATATATATATATATATATATATATATATATATATATATATATATATATATATATATATATATATATATATATATATATATATATATATATATATATAT